CCAATTCTACCTCTGGTGATCCATTCTCTTTCCTGGGTTTTTTTTTTTTTTTTTTGGAGTAATAAATCAGAACTTGTCAATATTCAACTAACTTAATCTGTACTATCATTAATAATTTATGTGCACTATCAAAACTATAATTAAGGGAATATGAAACATAATAATAATAATAAAAACCAAACTCTGCCATTGAGTTGATTCTAACTCATAGTGATCCTCTAGGACAAAGCAGAACTGCCCCATAGGTTTCCAAGGTTTCCAGGTTTTTTTACAGAAAGAGATTGCCTCATCTTTCTTCTGCAGAGGGGCAGAGGGATTCAAACCTCCGACAGTTCTGGTCAGAAGCCAAATGCCTTAACCATTACAACACCTGAGCTCCGTATGAAATAAAACAAGAGATTTAAATTTTTGCCAAATTATTATTTGACACCATTGACTAAGATCATTTATAAAAAAATAGTAAACATATAACTATAAAAAAATAAGTTATGAACCTTACATTTTTTCATTAGGTTGAATATTTTGGCAATTCCTCATCAGACAAGTTGTCATTACTATTTCTGTGCCCGGTATTTTTTTAGTGGAGATGCCACTTGCCAGAGTAGCTTCACTTTTCTGGTTTCCTATTTTTTCTTGATTCCTTCCTTCTATACTGTTACATGTAGAGGAATTAGTTAATGAGGAGTAATCAGAACCAGAGTTGATCCATTTCTCAGAAATATTTGGTGAGTCTGGTTTTTGTTCTTTTGCACAAGAGTTGAGGACCCTATTTTGCAGTAGGTTGCCAGTTTGTGTGGAGGTCAAATAATTTCCTTGGGCGTCTGCTTCATCTCTCTCCAAGATACTTACATTCATATTTTCATGCATGTATCGGTATTGTTTACTAAGTGTCATCAACTTCTTAAAATAATGGCAGAGATTTTCTGCACCATCCAAGGAGAATATATTCCTGAACAAATAAGTAAGGATATTTAATAACAAGAATTATATTAGTAAACATTAAAACATGTATCAGTTTTGAAAATATCCCTGTGTGGCTTGAAATGAACATTAAACTTTATTAGAACATTCATTATAGATTTAGTTCTGACAGTTTACATAAAAATTTGTCTCATTTCTAATAAAATTTGAAAATATTTGTTTAAATAATTTAGATCTCTCAGTTCAGACAAAATAAAACCATTTTTATTCTAGATATTTTTGGTACAAATGAATGATAGTAAATGCTTTTACTATCATACAAATGAGAAATCATGGCTGCCTAAATTTGGAAAAGTTATTTATGAAATAAAGTTAAAAGTACTTTCTACATTGACTCTTGCCATGCAAAATATTTATACTGGACTTTTAAAAAAAAGAACTTATATTATGGGAAAGTTTTTATTCCCATTTTTCTCTGGAAAAGAATCCATTAGAAAGAGAATTAAAATACTTTAACACACAAATGGTTGTGATTCTCTTGAACCATTGTTGGATTTCTATCTTATGGGGGTTATGACATATAATTAATCAAACTTTCATGTTTGCCAAATTTGGGGCACTCAAAAACAAATATAAAGAACTTTGAATTTGTATGAAACTTATTCTTGGTTACATGTTATTTATTATTTACCTTGCCATTATTCTAAAAAAATATTTATATACATTAAATGTATATTTTCTTCCTGTATTTAATATATAGCCGTAAACCAAAAAATAATAAAAATCACTGCCATTGAGTTGATACTGACTCATAGCAACCTTATTGGGTTTCCAAAGCTATAAATCTTCATGGAAACACAATGCTTTATCTTTCTTCTGTGGAAAAGTTGGTAGGTTCAAACCAAAAACCTTTTGGTTAGCAAATGAATATCTTAGCCACTGTACCACCAGAGCTCCGTATATAAGTTGCCTTAAATGCCTTCTGAAACTACTCAGGATATAAATAAATGTAACAAAAGTACAATCAAAACAACAAAAAAAGAAAGTGATAATTATCTCCTAAAATGCAGAGGTAATTAGACACATTCTATGTTCACAAAAGTAACAGTTAGACATTACTATAGTTTCCTCTTATATATTTTTGATATTTTTTTATTTCATCCATTTTATTGGCTAATAATGCAGAAAAGGTCCAATTCAATATTGTGATATCAAAAATGTTTATGGTTAGGTATTGAATTCACAACATTTATGCATTAAACATATAAAATACATTCTATTTTCCATTTTCAATTCTGAAATAAAACTTCAATTGCAGTGATGGTCAATTATAAAGGAATGAAAAAATCTGTATTTCATCATAAGGGATATCAAGAATGACCTTGTCACACAAAACTGTATATTATCACACATACATAAGGAGATATCAGCTTGGAATTTCACAGAAAAAAATGTAAAAATTTTAGTATTTGTTAAAAGTAAACATTCCTATTTATAAGTCAAAATTAAAATTGTGAGAATTATTTAAAATTTGAATAAA